ATCATGTGAAGAGCAGGAGTCTGGTATCCAAGAGCTTTGGTTATGGAGTTAGTCTCTGGAGTTGTGGCTTTGTCACACGCTAATGCATATTCATACTATAAACCAAGTCACTTGGAAGACCAGAGGGAGGGTTCTCTGTCAGCTTGGCAGGAAACACTCTCTTCCAGGCTGGAAAAGCTAGGGATGTCCATGGGAAGCAGTAGGTACTAGGGGGCACCTCTCTGGTTCCTGGTGTCGTGGCTTGCAGGTTTTTAAAACAGCCTTGTTAAACACAAGTGGTTCTCTGGATTGATCTTTCTTAAATCTATGTAGTGCTGAGGCCTGGGGCTGTGGGCTGTTCCTGCAGGCAGGCTCCATATCTAGCCCTCAGCCATCTTCCTGGCAGAGTGAGGGTCTGGTGTGGTGTGGAGCAGGAGGAACAGGCTTTTTGGTGTGTTGCCTGCCTAACAGTGTTACAAAGAAGAGCTGCTCCAGTAAGCTGTCTAGGCAGACTCCTGCTCTTGTATGTGGTGCTTGTGTCTGAAATTGGGGGGTGAGGTACCCAAGCACCAAAACTGAACTAATCCATGTGCCTTTCTATGGGTGGTTTAGGCAGTTTGTTTTACTGGTTATTATTCTTCCTCAGGTCTCCATGATGTATCTTGAACATTAAAGATATCCAGCCATAAACTGGTGACAAAATGACACATCTTTCTTTTGGTAGGCTTGGGTGGTAAATATTCCTTGTACTTGCTGGAAAATGGAGGACAGGGAACTGGCTGGTGTTTCACACAGTGACTGCTGCAGGTTGGGGGGAGAAGGTGGGGAGGGGGCTTATGTTTCCCTGAGGCCATGCTGCGAAGGATGGGCATGCTGCCTGCAGTCAGTGGGGACTGGGTAGGATGGCCTCTCTGAGCCACAGTGGACTTCACTCCTGCCTGCTGGAGATTTGTTCTGTGCTGCCTCTGAAACACAGGGGTTGCTCTTGGTCAGAGGATGAGATATGCTTGTGGGCATACCACCTTTGGGGTGGTGTGATGGATACCTCTCCCCAGCATCAACTTCAGTCTGGTCAGACCTGAATGTTCCTCTACTCCAGGAAGGATTTCCGGAGCTCAGGCACAAAGTGGATGGAGCTAGTCCAAATTCACAAACCGACTGCCACCTCACAGCACACCAGGTTTCTACCTTCTGGAGAGGTGCCAGGAGCAACTGGATTTCTTCTGGCTTTCCTTCAGCCAGGTGAGCACAGTCTTTGTGGGGTGCCTGTGGCACAGCTGCTGGGGGAAATACAGCAGAGCCTAACTGTGACGGCAGTGCTGCTGTCAAGACATGACTATTCAGTGCTCCCATCAGTGGGATGCTGAGCAATTGGCGAGGGTTACAGAGCTGTCCTCAGAGACAGAGAAGTGCTGGGGCAGACCAGTGAGAGCTACGAGGAGTTTGCTTTCCCTCACACTTGCTGCAGCTATGCCCCCTCGCAGCAGCTTCCTCTGGCAGCTGGACCTGAGCCATGCAGCAGAGGGTGAAACTCTACAACTGCCTGTGGCCTTGGCTGTCTTCACATCTCGGGGACAACAAGGACAAATCCTTGAGGGTACTGAGCCACAGAGGGTCATCTCTGTGAGAGACAGAACCCATCTTCCTGCATCTAGGGGGCAAGGCAGCTGTGGGTAGGCGTCACAGGAGCGAACAGCTTTCACTCCCAGGTCTACAGTGGGCTTTGCTTTCTTTTGAGGATGTGTCCAGTTACTACAAAGCAAATCTCAGCAATATGCTGCAGTCACAGCTGTTATACAGCCCCTTCCTCGCCCATGCCCTCGGGGCAGTGAGTATGACAGTTTCAGCTGGGGAGGCCTTGTGAGCATCCTGAGGCCTTTGCTGGGAGGAGTGTGATATGGAGTTTTTCCATATTTTCTAGCACATCCTACTCCTCTCTTCATTGTTTTGCAAATCCACATTACATCTGCCTTTGAAGTAAGTGATGTGTTGTATGCATGCTGGATGCTGATTCTTTGCTCTCTTACCCCTGAGAGCTCTTTAGATTTGTGTCACTGAAAAGAACTGCCCAAGAGTGAGTTGCTGGTGAGGGCTCTGGTGGGGCATAGGGTGCTGGTGGGCACCCTATGCCCACACCTCCAGGCCTGTACTGCTCTACCCTGCACCTTCCCCCCAGGGTTTATTCTGTGTAACTTCCTGTCGCTCATTCCCACCACTGAATTACTAACAACAGGTATCACACCATGCCACTGTAAAAGGGAAGCAAAACTGAAACTAAGTAGTGAATGGCCACTTTGTCATTAGATGCTGTTGCAAACTAAGTAAATCAAAGCAAAGTTCTGGACAAGCTGAGACAAAGTGTGGAAGAAGCCTGACAGCCCCAAGCCTGATGCCTTGCAAGTTCAGTGCAGACCCCATTCCTCAGTTGTGCACCAGCCTGTTCTTGTGGGCTGATGTCTCCGTAACTGCATGCTTGGGGTGCTAGGCTGCTCACCCCAGCTGCTGGGTGGTGCAGTGTGCAGCCATGGGGTCTCAGTGCCTCATCAGGGCCTGTCCCTCCATCTGAGGAAGCTGGGCTACTCTTTGGGAAGGAAGGTGTTAAACCTGGCTCCTGGTAGGTCTTTGGGGGTGCCAGCTAGGCTGGTGGCACGTGGGGCAGAGACAAGGTGCTGTGGGCTGGGTATAGTAGGGTCCTGAGTGGCACTGAAGGGGTGGCCATCATGTCCCCCTTCAGAGGGGCTGGCCTGGCAGGGTGGGGGGATGAGGGGACAGTGCCTGGGACAGCCCCAGACCTCACCTGTCCTAGGATGTGTGGGCAGAGCCTTGCACCCCAGTCCCACTGCTGCTGGGCTTGCAGTGGCTCTGTCATCATCCCCCCACTCCTGGGATGGGCCACATAGTTGGCAGCACCTGTGGATTTAGGGCAGCTCCCCCTCCCTTCAACAGCATCTCCTGCAGCAACTCCTCTGTTAATAGAGTTAGTCATTAACAGAGTTTCCTCTGTTAACAGCCCCACTGTCTGTGCACTGCCTGCGGCTCAAAGGGTTTCCTGGAGGCTGCCCGTGCTGGGGGCACCCCTTCTCTCCCAGGCATTCAGTCTCTCCTGGGCTGAGGGCTGCTGCTTTCCCAGCCTGGCTTCCGAAAAGCCAGGCCAGGGGGGGCACAGAGGTGGCAGGGCCAGCTCTCTGCCCGCCCCTCCTAGGTTTGGCTGCTCACCAGCTGGCAGAGGAGCTGAGCTGGCCCCAGCTGCTGCCTGGCGCAGTGCAGAAATGAATGCAGGTGCATAGCTGGTGGCCACACTTCCTCCTCCTCCCCAGGGTGAGCAGGGGCACGTTGACTCCCCTGCTGACTCCCCTCGTCACACTTGGTGAAGGCAAGGAGGGGCACAGAGGGATGCAGGGCCAAGTCCTGCCTGTTACCACTGTCCCTGTTTTTGCCCTGTTCAGGACTTTGTGCTCAGCCCAGGCCTGCCTGCAGAAGGGGCTGGAGATGCCTCGTGCCGTGAGGCGGACTCTGGGGGTGAAGAGGCAGACATTCAGTGCTGCCACGTCCCCCAGAAACACAGGGTGCAGTAATGCTGCATATACACTCCCCACTGCAGCCACTGCAGCTGCGGGGTTGGGCCACCTGCCTGGGGTAGTACATGCTCCAAACTGGACAGGACCAACTCCAGGGTTGGAGGAACCTCGCCAGGGCAGGAGCCCAACTTGCTTGGCAGCTTCCCAGTGGTTAAAGGACCTTGGCTGAAGTGGGGTGGTGGTCAGGCCAGCAGGACCAAGGAGCTGCCAGGGCCTGCCCACTGCTACCTGAACTGTGCAGGAACCCAAGGGGTCTGCAGGGCTTTATGGACAGAAAGCTAGCCAGGGCCACAGCAACCCAGCTCACTTTGGTCTTTGGACCATTACTTTTAGTGCTGTCAGCTCCAGTGGGACCCACTCATCCTTCTCAAGCTGGAGAGAGGCAGCTTCCCACCTTGAGCGTTCACACTCATGTGGCCACATTTGCCCTTTCTGTCAGGTGACTCAGTGTCTGCTCGGGGCCAGGCAGTTTTATCCAGGAGCTTGTGACAGAGCCATGCAGCATCGCCTGGGACTGTCCAGCCCTGGGGAGCTGTGCAAGGCAGGCACTGGTTGGGGAGACCCACCGGTTGTGCCCGGCTGATTTTCAGGTGGCTTGGCTCTTTGTGCACAGTTGAATTTGTGCTAGTGCCAGCCCCAGTGCTGTGTCTGGTCCCATCTTGCAGGGCAAGTGATGCAGCTCATAGGCATTGCCTTTGGCTGGCATTTAGCCCATGCAGGTGCCTGGCCCAGGGCTCCAGCATGCCCCATATCCTCATGCCATCACCTTGGTGGACTTTCCTCCTGAGCCAAGTTCTAAGGTGGCCTTCCTCTCCTAGGTTGGCATCCACATCCCCAGGGAGAAGCCTTGTGCTTTACCACCCCACCACTTCTGTGTGCATGCTCATAGCTCAACACACACGCATCACTTGGGTGTACGTCCTCATGTTGTGCCCTGGTTATTTCACGCAGCATCCAGTGCAGCCCTTGGAGTAGGCTGGGCAAGTGTCTGGGAGACACCAGAACACAGCACAAATGGTCCCACATGGACCAACTGGCCTCCTAAGTGCTTCTGCTTAGTACCCTTATTTCCCTGGTTAGGTTAGCTGTGTGTGGCTGGTACAAGAACCCAACCAAGCTCTTGTGCCTTGGTTGCCAGGCTACTACGGTCCTTTCTCTTGGCATCTGGCAAGCCACAGAGCCTGGCTGTGGAAATAAGGTGTGTTCTGGCACTTTTCTTGACAGGCTGAGCCCAAACTGAGCCTGAGGGGACCCAGGAAAGCAGTAGGTGCTCTATGAAACCCTGAATATTCCAGTGACTAGCATCTCCTCACCTGTCAATAAAACTATAGCAACTATATAGCCTCCAATTTATCCTAGTCTTAAACCCCCTTTAACTGGTTATACTGGATGAGTAAGCCCAGTCCCACAAGTGAAGGCTTGTGGAGTAAGGGGGGGGTACCCTTAGTGGAGGAGGGAATGATCAGACACTGCATGGTCTTCATATTTTGGGGTTCTCTGTAGCCAGAGACAGGGCCCCATGCTGCTCTGGATGATTTCTAAGCAGTCTGCATAATTGTTCCGAGCTGCAGGGTAGGCAGGCAACTGGGAAAGAAGACAAAAATGCAAAATCCAGACGGGAGCTGAAAGCACCAGAAGAGCCTGAAACCAAGTAAAGGCCTAGAAACAGCACACAAAGCACCCCAAAGCAGGGAACAAGTACACTAGGGTGCCCGGGAGGCTGCAGCCTGGGCTATCCCCCCCAGCACTGTCTCACCATCCATTGTGCAAAATTAAGAAAATCAGCAGAGGAGCCCAAGGTGAAGCAGGGTGAGCTCAAGCCTCCTGCTGCCTTTTCCAGTGGTGGCTGAAGTCACAGACAGTGCAAGAGGGTGGATGGGAAATGCGTACTAAAACCACTGCAGGGCTGCACATAGGCCAGTGAGTCCAGGTCCTGTGGAGCCATGAGCGAGCCCAGCTCGTCACGGGGTATAACCCTTCATGGGGGCGAGGACTCAGCTGCTGACATGAAGCTTCTCTGGTTACCAGAAGTCTACCATATGCAAAGCCAAACTGCTGTGAGATGGTGCCTGCCACCTGCCTGGGTAAAGCTCAGGCTCAGTGGGCTCTTCATCCCTCCTTGACAGGGCTCTCACCTTCCTCAGGGTATTGATGGACTGAGCCAAGTACAGGTGCAACAGCTGGAGACTCCCCAGGCTGCAGGACCCTTCTTGACTGACAGTCAACTTTAAGCCCCACACAACCACTTCCTCCCTGCCTGTCCCACCCCTTTGTTCATCGCCAGAGCCAAAGGGTAACACAGATTGTGGAAAAGAGCCTTTATTTAGAAGACACATAGCACCCAGTGCTCCTGGGCCCTCTTCCCTGCTAGCTCCCACCTGACTGAGCCCACCGACATCCCGACAGACCACCCACCCCCACCTCCCATCGCTGTTCCTCTTGCTGCGGATGCAGAGATCTCCCTCTGGCAGCTCCTCAAGTGCAGGACCCACTGCCCGGCCATGGCCCCCATCCCATCCCACCCCTGGCCAAGCACCTCCATCCCCCTGTGAACACCCACCCCTGTGCCTGCTCAACAGACACTGCAGCCCCTCGGAGCCGTGCCTACATTACACACCCCCCACCATACTCCCTGGCTATGGTGTTCCTGCATAGCACCCAGGGAGGCACAGGGCCAGGAGCAGGGTGTCCCCTGTCACTGCCCTGCTACCGGTGCGGA